TTTTAAATAACTTATTGATTACAAAGTAAATATTTAAATTCTTTGATAAGAAGTTTCCCTCAAACGAATTTATTTATATAAACTGTAGAGAAATATTAAAATAAAGACTTTTTTAAAATTATGATATTTTTATTAAACTACAATTGAAAAAATGAGATTAGCTTGCGAGCTGAACACTTTAGCTTATGAGCTAAAATCTTTCACTCATGAGCTTAAAAGTGATCTAAACTCTAGCTTAACAAAAGAAATTAAACTACCAAATATCAATCCCAATATATAATATGACTTTCCTAGCCAACCAATAAAGTCAAATTAAGTTCTCAGTACAAGGAGTAAACTTTTTAGTTTAAGCTTTTAGGGATATCACCCATCCAATACTATCCAACCTCAAGATGTTTAATTTCAATTACTCCAAAACTTTTAAGCGATTGAAAAAGAAATTATTCTTTTATTCATAAGTATTTTTGTTAACCCTAATGAACCTTTTCATAAGCCATTCTTTTTGGCTGTTGATACAGCCTTTATCTACTTTCACTAACAAAAATAAAAATAACAAAAAATAATAATGATCGCTTGAAATAACAATATATATTGTGTATTTTGCTTAATTCTCTTTCACAATATAAATTGAATGAATTATGTTTTCTTATATCAGTGGCTTCTTATATATCAAGCATATAGAGTTTTCCATAAAGTGGGTTCTTTGAGAAGGATGTATTGATATAACATTATGATATTATTCAGGTATTCTAAAGTAATAAAACCTATAAGAAACCCCATTAAGAAACTATAAACTAAAACCATAATATTTCAGTGAATATGTCAGTACACTATAAAGTTTAGAAAGATAGTACTTTCAAGTAATATCTAGAAATATGGAAAAACAATTATATAGCTTAAAGGAAGTATATCTTAAATTATGTAGTGTATTGATAAACCACAGTATAATAAATAAACAATAACTCAATAAGTCAATATAAAAGTACTAATATTTTCTTCACTAAAATTTCAAATTTAAAAATATTCAATTACCATAAATAACTTTAGAATGGAAATGCAATTAAAGAATATCTGTTATCTATATAAAGAGGGCCAATACTTTTAAATTTTACCATTAGGAACCATCAATGGAAAAACAAGAGCAAAGTTGTAGTGCTTAATATTAATTTTAAAATTATTACTTGTAGAGTGAAATTAAAAAATATGGTAAAGATGGAAGTAATATCACTTGTTCATTTTGGCAATTTGTAAGATTTTCATAGTGCATTACAATTATAACCAATATGAAAGTTTGAAACTTGTGAATCATTATAAATGCTATAGTTTGAAGACTAAGGAGGTTCATTACATATTGTTTAATTCTCATTATAATCAATAATAGTTTCAAATATCTACAATTTTTTATCAAATTGATTATTATTTGAGTTTGCAATATTAAAAACGTTGGTTTTATATTTCATCTTTTGTATAATTGCCCTCAAAACATAACAGAGGCGATGAATTTTCCAAGCATTTTAAAAGTACTTCAACACATGAAAAAAGTGAAGTAAGAGATAAAAGTATTAATATAGATACACATCACAATATAGTAGAAAGATAAGAAAACTGTGTTCCCTAGTGAAACGAACAGTCCTAGAATATTCCTTCACCTAGCAAGGTATGTGGGAGAAGGGCCAAAGGTTTTGTGTGCATCTTCATTTAGAAGGGTCTGAATTGGTATTGCTTGGGCTTGCTGATTTGGAGAACGGTTCGATTTCCAAAACTGAAAGCTTAATTTTGAGAAGGGTTGAGAAGACAAAAATAGCAATAGATACTTGATATGCAAAAAATTCAAGGATGGAAACAAAATCAATAGAAAAATCCAGCTATCATTTTGCATACGTACAATAGCCCTGCACCAAAAGTCTCAAAGAAGAGTGAGAGAGAGAGAAAAGCATACATTTTAGAATATGCTTTAAATTTGGTAAGTGGTCTAATGTCCATCTCTGCATCTACTTAGCTGACAATCATATCCACACACACACATAATGCTCAGAACCCTTGCCAGCTCTCTAGCTTCCCATGTATGGAAAGCTGGAGCAACGTAGTGTCAAAACCAGTCCATCACTACTGATATCCTGATTCTTGCAACCCAACATTCCTGCAGAAACTGCAAACTGGTTGGATCACCAGCTCTACCCTTGAGAGCCGGAGCAAGCCTACTCGCATGTATAGCCTGCCTTCCCTCTCTGACCACCCATGCCCCTTCCTCATTATCCATAAATGTTTTCCCATAATCATGTTGACTGAAGGTGGCCCATGGGCAGTAGACTTTTAGTATTGTACTAGTACTACCCAGCAAATAGTGAATACAAAAGTGTTAATGCTTATGTATGTAAATTTGTGAAGATCAATTAATTAATAAAATCTTCTTGTAACTAAAAAGAAAGAGTGTTACTTGGTATATACAAAAAAAAAAAATCTTTTAAAAGTATTAATGTAAAATTTATATAAAAGACTAAGTATTTGAAATATATAGAATGTTTCAAACCATGACTAAGTTACAAATTTAAAAATCCCCCCAATGATACCTTATATAGACGGATAGAGATACACTCTGCGAGTACATGAAAAAATTGTGTTGGAAGGACAAACACAACCTCAATACCTCAGTGATGAGCGTGTGGGTGAAAGCACCAGAGGAAATGTCTTATGCGATAGTCTTCCATGCCAAGGAAAGACTTTTCCTGGCATTTTGACTTGGAAGTAAAACATACTCTGGAATCCAGCCGGTGGAGACACTCCTCAATTGAAAGGAATCGATTGATATGGAAGAACTTTTTGAAAACTCCTACGACATTTGCTTTATGACTGCGTTGGAAACAAAGATGTAAACCAGTACTATGACCGCCACTATGATCATAAGAAGATGTTTATCTCTGACTTTCACAACTGCTCTCATACAACGCCTGCAAAACAAAACAAAAAACTTTTTCTTTTCTTAAAAAAAAAAAAAAAACTTACTCCAGAGGAAACTTAAGCACAGTGACGTTGTCTAGATTTTCTTTTGCAGCCTGAAACTGTAAACACGAAAAGTAAGTGAATGGCTATGGAAAAACAAACATTCTTACCTCGAGCATTACACCATCCAAACGTAAGAGTACGTTTGGCATCTCCTCATGGTAGTTTTCAAGCAAAACCATTCTCATGTACTCAAGATATGAAAGCAAGATTTTGCGCCTAGCCACTAGCTCTCTGACCTTTCCAACCAAACGCACTTGCGAGAATCCTTTCTCACCTTGAGGGACTCTGGGGAAGACCTTCTGGAATGGTACCTGGGACTGAGTCTCTTCACTGGAGGAGCTGATGTTGAGACTGGGTCTCTTGCTCATCCAGCCTTCGATCATGCGCTCAACGCCATCTCCAAACACCTCGATCGTGCTAAGCGTGCAGTAAAAGTTCGTCCCATAGTGTGACAAGTATCTCAGCTTGAGATACCTCGCCCACACCGGTACTGACAGCGTAAACCTCGGCGGAATCCTCACATCCTTCGCCTCGAACCTCCCCAAGAGTTTCCACTCCTCGGTTGGGTGCTCCAGACTTCCCAGGAGCTCCAGTTCCCTTGGATTGGACGAGAGGAGCTCGTAGTTGGCGATGGCGATGGTGACCACCAGAGTCTCCTCGGAGAGCTCCACAACCACGAACTTTTCTTCGGCACTGCATGGGCTGCGGAAGTGCTTATCCTTGTCCTTGTTGAGAACGTAGTCACCCTCGGCTTCCTTGTTCGCTCCTATAACTTTGGCGCCCAGCGAGGCTGCGGCATAGTTTTCCTCCACGAGGATGTCCGAGGTTTCACTCGCCACTGTGCCAAGATCCTCAGGCTGGAAAGTTTCGCAACTCAATGACTTAACAATAAGAAAACATGAGCGCAGAAGCCTACCTCGGCGCAAGATCCGGCAAAATCAGCCCTGCATCCGCGGAAATCTCCGACCTGCATTTCATCGCGCTCCTCCCCAGCCTGGAGCTCATCGGAGAGCTGCGCTTCGAAAATCTGCGCTTCATTGGTCTCCGGATCCCCGTAATGGAGCTCAATCCCGATCCCGGATCCCGACACGAACCAGAAGAGTAAGATCAGAACCACCGGAAGACGAAGATCGCCCGCCATACCTCCTGAAGAACAAGAAACCCTACAATGCCGAGGGCTTTTAGATTGGAGGGAAAAAGACACGAACCCTAAATTTTGAAAACCACTTAAGTGGCATATTCCAGTATCAAAATATGACGCACGCCTTTCTTCGTTTCTGGATCAATCGCAATGGACGCATTCAACTTGGCTCTTTCCTTGGCATGTTTTCGTCTCGTTATACATCCATCATCGTCCTGCGCATCTCAAGCTCCAGTTCCACTGCAAGAATTGCGTGAAGCGAGTCAAGAAATCGGTGGCATTTTGGATCGCGCAATGTTGTGCGACATCTCGTTCGTGTCGAAGAGGCTGGCCTGGATCGCCCATACAGAATGTCGGGGGCACGAAACGGCTCTTTGATCTGGAATGTTCTTCTCACGGCATTGGCCCAGAGCGGGCATTTTGACGATGCGAAGCGTGTCCTTGCTTCCATGCCCGAGTGGGATCTCATCTTCTACACGGCAATGCTGGTGGCGTTCTCGCAGAACGAAGACCTCGAAAACGCGCGGAAGCTCTTTGATGCGATGCCGGAGAGGAATCTCGTCAGCTGGAACTCGATTCTCTCGGCTTTCTCGCAGAACGGGCATTTGCGGGAAGATTCCAAGTATCTCTTCAATTCGTACGGAAACGCCATGTACGAACAGCTAGAGAATATTCGCAATTGAAATCTGGCGGGGAATGGTTTCCAGGGTCGAATCCTGCCAGGGGTGCGGTGGCGATGGACAAGGCACCGATGCCTCTCCTCTAAGGTATTTCAGGGATGTGTTCTTCCTCTGGCGCGGGCTAGGGTTTATAGAAACGCCGATCTAGGTTCTTTCGTCGATCGATCGCCGGCGGTATGGTGAGCGATCTACGTCTTGTGGTGCTCGTGCTCTTGATCGTGTCGGGACTGGGGATCGGGATGGAACTCCATTCCAAGCTTCCGGAGGTCGATGAAGCTTCAATCCCGGGGATTTTGCAGGCGCATCACCCGATTCTCGAGCTGGAAGAGCAGCGCCTCGATATTTCGTCCCGTGACAGGGCAAGTTCTCCACTTCTATCTCGCTTCTTCTTCCATCTTGTTTCTGACGAGAATTCCAGAATTCTAGCAACGGTGAAGAAGAAGTCAGTGCCTCCGAAGAACGAAGTGTTCCTCTCGCTAGTCCAGACGAGCATATGCAAATGCCGAGGATTGAGTTCCCGGGAAGCGAGAATCAGAGGCTATTCGAAGCAATCTCTCCAGTTGAGGTCCTTCCATCTTGTTTTTCTGAGCTGACGAAAATTTCCAGAATTCTGGCAACGGTCAAGAAGCGAGTGAAGAAGTCAGTGCCTCCACACAGCTAGCGGAAGAACGAAGTGTTCCTCTCGCCAAACGAAGTGTTCCTCTTGCTAGCGCTACTCGAGACGAGCATATGAGGACTGAGTTCCTGGCAAGCGAGAATCAAGACGACGAGAACAGGCACAAGCTCAATCGCAAACAACATCACAACTATGCCGCAGCCTCACTCGGTGCAAAAGTTCTGGGCGTAAACAAGGAAGGCAAGGGTGGTGGCAACATTCTCATCAAGGACAACGACAAGTACTTTCGAAACCCATGCGGCGCCAAGGACAAGTTCGTGATTGTGGAGCTGGCTGAAGAAATTCTGGTGGAAACATTTGTCATCGCCAACTACGAGCTCTACTCGTCCAATCCAAGGGAGCTGGAGCTTCTCGGAAGCCTGAGTTATCCTTCGTCAGGGTGGAAACTCTTGGGGAAGTTCGAGGCGAAGAACGTCAGGCAGCCTCAGAGGTTTATTCTAGCGAAGCAGGAGTGGGCGAGGTACCTCAAGCTCAGGATGTTGTCACATTATGGGACGGAGTTCTATTGCACGCTTAGCTCCGTGGAGGTGTTTGGAGTCGCAATCGGGCGCATGCTTGAAGACTTGATTGGCAGTTCGCCAGGGGATTCCAGCAGTGTTTCCACCACGTCGGTCAACAAGTTCCTCATCGAACAGCTGAAGCAACTAGAAAGCGAGCAGAAAACTTTCGAAGAGTACGTGGAGGTTTCGAACTCCCAGAACACTGCTGCTGTCAATGACTACCAAGAGGAGCTCACCAACGTGATGGAGCAGCTTAAGAGTCTTAACGACTCTGTGCAAGAGCAAGTAAGAAAGCCTTTTCTTATGTTTTCTTCTCTCATTACTTCATCTTTGCAGCACCGTCTTGTGAAGGAGATGTATTCCGAATCCATGGAGGGACTGAGGTTTACTTTTCTCTCAAGCCTAGTGCATTTCTCATGTTTGCTTACTTTTCTTTTGCAGTCTATGTAGGAAGGAAGTAGATCGCATAGCAAATGGACAGGTGCACTCGCTCATGTTGACGTTGGTGGCGATGCTTGTGGTTGTATCCAAGCTACGAATCCTCGTCCGCCTTGCGCTCACAGGGTTTTTGGTAATCCTAGTACTGATGTAAAGATTTTCGAGACTGCTAGCAATTGTTTTTTGTACGCTATAATCCAACTGCACCGTCACAACCTCTGGAAATTAATATTCATTCGGAAGACGGGACCATTTCACAGCCCAACGTGAAAAAAATTGTGTTGGAGGCACAAACACAATCTTGAATACGTCAGTGATGAGCGTGTGGGTGAAAGCACCAGAAGAAATGTCTTATGCGATAGTCTTCCATGCCAAGGAAAGACTTTTCCTGGCATTTTGACTTGCATCAGCACCTACAAAAAAACAATCCAGCCCCGAAGCTACATCAGAACTAGACCATCTTCAGCTTCCTTTTATGAGGTAAGTGGCAATGCCAATGCCCTAGCCATGCACTCTAGACAAGATCCTAGAAAAAGACCAGCTAGTTAAGAACCTGTGCATCCTTCATGCTTGGCAGTCTTTGGTGATGAAAACCTGTCCTCACTCCAAATATCGCAGCCATGGACACCACGTCTGATCTAACTTCAACCGAGTCCTCTCACGCTTTTGAGACGCTGGTGCATCCACAGCACATGCCATGGATTTTCACATCTATCAAACTTGGACATGCAGTGCATTGGTTGTCGCACTTCTAGAACTCGTTCAGTCAGTGCTGACTGCTTGCTGCTCCAGAAAGCTTTGCCTTGCTTGCCACTGCAGTGGTATAAATGTTGTTTCCTGTTTCATTCAGTTCATGAAAACCAATCAAGATAAACATTTATCACATATTGCAAAGAAGATAAGGACATCAAGAAATTATACAAGACACTCCTCAATCTGCTTCCCAAAAAGAAAAAAATTCATTTTGGCCACATATTCCACCTTTAACAGTTTTTTTCCACTTGTATATATTTAGAATATTCTATTAACAAGGTTTAGTACATGTATTTATACAGTGAAAGGGTCGACACTAATTACATAATCAGTGTTAGTCTACATAACAGATAGGGAATATGTTTCGGATGGATAGTGCTTGGATTATAGTGTACAAAAAACAATTGCTAACAATCTCAACATCAGTACTAGGATTACCAAAAACCCTATGAGTGCAAGGTAGATGAGGATTCGTAGCTTGGATACAACCACTCTATGGATTCGGAATGCATTTCCTTCACAAGATGGTGTAGTGATAAAACAAAGGCTCTCAACAAAGCATTGCATGTTAACATGAGCAAATGCATTTGTCCATTTGCTATGTGATCTACTTCCTTCCTATATAAACTGCAAAAGAAAAGTAAGTAAACATGGAAAATGACTAGGCTTGAGAGAAAAGTAGACTTTAGTCCTTACACTCATAATTGGGAACATGCACTCAAATTAAAACTCTAGCTAAAGTTAAACCAAAGTGGTAGATAAAGAAGAAACATTAGGAACATGAGAAGGTGGTTTAAGCTATAAAAAAAAAAAAAAAGTTGGGAAAAAGTAGAAAATAAAGGATTAAATGATAGATTGAAAAATTAACACCTACCCCATGAAATCTCTATTTTGTGTCCAAAGTTATCTCCATAATAATCAAAATTGTCATTACAATCTAGAATCCATTAGAGATTGTATTTATCGTCTTTTAACAACTTCTACTAAACTAAGGGGAATTAACACCTCTATTTCCACACTAAATTTACCAATCATTCCATTATGTATAAATTAAGTATTCTATATGAGGCAATTAATCATCCACTTGAGCCAAGAGGAACATCACCCTTACTGCAATCCCAACTATTGATAAATAACCCCTACTAAGCTAAGTATTGAATTTATCAATCCTTTTATTGTGTAGAATAATGTGCTCTAATACCATATATAGTGCACCCTATTTTTCTTTCTTTAAGCGAATTGGAAAAGGGGCAATTGCTTGATGAAAAAACTTTTAATAACTATTTTATCCTCATTTATCTCCTAAAGTTCCAAAGATTTATGGTGATAGTATATTTAAATTTCATCTCATAATCACATGCACTACTTTACATTGGATTTTTTTTGCATCTAATGGATTGCCCATTGCCTCAACTCCACACTATAATAAAAAAATTTCAATCTATTATGCTACACTCTCTTTATTAAGAACTTAATATGGCTTAATTTAGAGGTGGTGTCTTAGAGTAATATAATACTTAACATCAAGTTCGTAAAAGTTGTTGGTTTTAAGGTTTATCTCAACATTTTCACTAGCAAAGGAAAAAAAACACTTTGAATAGATAATTTTTTTATCATTAGTAAAGTCTACTTTATATATCTACTACAACCACTTCCTCAACTATAGTTACCATCATTTAAAAGTGTGAAATCACTTTCTTTTTCATTTATTTGCATAACATTTCAATAGAAGGCTTTGTTTCAACATGTCTTCCTTCTTTAAATGCTAAAGCTTTTGAAAAGTTCTTTATTACATATACTAAATCTTATATGTATACTTCATAGAAACTCATTTTCCCCTTCCTTAGCTCAAAAGAACACTAACTCCATATAAATGATTAAATTTTCCATTGTACTTTAATCACATAACCACACATTTGATTAGTACATTTATTTGTACTTTTATATGTCCACATTCTAACTTTGGATATTTATTAAAACCCCAAAGGTAGCATCAAAAGTATATTTGCACTTTGGTCCAAGTGCTCCATATGCTCCAGTTTTGATGACCCTAAACCCTATGGTGGTTTATCATAGGATAACCATGGAGCAAAACCTTAACCCTTTATGTGCCATGCCATGTGTCCAAAGGCAATGAAGCAAAACCCAAGTTTCAGAGCCTTGAGCCACTGAATAAAAGGGCAAAGCCAAACTTCTAAGTATGCAAGCAGTTCCAAAAGTATAGTAGGGAGAGTGTGGGGGTTGAGCTCCAGTGGAATTAGTTTGGCCAAGAAAGGCTAGTGTGACCATAGAAGGCTATCCCTATTGGGCGATGATATATCCATTGAGGAGTCAAAAGCTAGAGTGAATACAGATAGACAAGCGAAGTAACATGGTGAAGTGTTCACAAGCTAGCTTTAGCTCCCTCAGAAGATCAAATGGTTAATGCTCCCAAAGTGTGGGTGGCATTACCTACTTGGATATCTAGTGTGGCTTATCATAATTTCACTCTAGCCACATGGCTAGCACCCAAAGGCAGAAGGTGAGGAGAATACCCATGAGGCTCGTATAGAGTTATAGTGTTCCGAAATGTTATCTTAAAGTCCTAGACTATAGAAAGGTAAAGGAGCAATTCTCTAATGTAGAGACTAAGAATATGGTCATATGATGAGGAAGTCCCAAAAGTCAGTAAAACATAGTGGTCGGGCCTGTAGGCCTTGACCCATTGGCAGTGTTAGCAAACACGGCTATGGACGGAAAAGGACTTAGTGGGGACTAAAAAAAGGATATTGGGGAATGTTGTTTCCCATGTATACGGGCATCCTAAAGATGTTAAGGAGTGGATTTGGGATGATCACTCATGGACAGATACTTTAATATTTGAGAAACAGGATTGTGATGTAAGTGGTGTTGGATCACCGGTATGACAAAGTTGAATAGGCATGGCTTTAGCGTAATATGCTAATATGTCAATAGTACCTTTGGATGTCAATCATGGGATTGAACATGTAAAGCACTTGGACCAAATGTAAAAGTTGAATGGCGTGGATGTCATTTTTAGAGCTAATAAGTCCCCAAGTTCAAAATAGAACTTATGGAAGTTATGAGTGAGACTCCTCCAAATGGTTGGAGGTGTGGTTAAGTGACTAAAATAAAATAAAAAATTTAATCACTTACAACCGATAACTTAGTGTAAGGATATAGGTACTCCACTAACTAACATGGTATGGAACTTAAGCTTAAATGTAAATTAGATGCAAAACAAAAACAAACACGCATTTGAAACCCCCTCACATCCCCCCTTTTGAAGAATGTATGCTTTGGGATTTCACCTTAGTCCCAAGAGTTAGTCTCTAGGACAATCATAAAAACTTATTAAATATGGAATAGTGTTAGATTGTAAATTTGGACACAAGAATAACACTGTTGTGTTTAGGACAAATTTTACATTTTGTAAAAATGCCCAACTAGTATATTTAGACACTTTTCATAAATAACCAATAAGACTAGAGGGAAGTAACATATAAAGCATGATCACAAGGGTGTTTAGTGGACATGATAAACTATTATATAGCAATATTAAAAGACTAGTCTTAATATGTAAGGGTTTTTGTCAAACTGATGCAAAACAAAGTAAAAGAGAATTAAAAGTCAAACTGAATATGCTCAATATGAAACATATAGGAGTCATCTGGCTAACTATAGATGCTAAGTTCAATTTAGTAACACTTGAACAAAAAGGGTTAAAAAAAGGACTAACAATATTGATCTCATGCCGTCATAATAGTAAGGAAAGAATATTTAAAAAGACTTGCCCACATGTAATTTTCAATACTTATAGTCACATTCGCAACAACCTTTAACTCAACTGGGGCTTAAAGATTTATGTTTTACATTCCAATACTTAAAGAGGTTCATAGTTGGGGTGAGCACAAGATCCTCAAGTAAAAGTGATTTGGTCAAATGGACCATTATGCTCAATTGGAATTTTAGCTCTTTGGAATTATGATGATTATTAATTTAATTTTTTAAAAAATAATTAAAAATACTTAGACACCACCATTATAAGATAAAGCATTCCTGAGGAGAATATGATCCCTCTAAAAAACCCTTGATCTAGGCCACATTTGTCTACTAATGATGGGAAAAGGAAAAGAAAGAAAGGAAGTGCCAATAAAGCAACAAAACGATCAAAACTCCATATATTACAGCTCTCCACCTTGGCCAATATCTGCAAAGAACATGAGCAAATCACCAAAACAAAAGGAGAACTCAAATGACAGATGCTTGCTCCAGTCTAAACTTTAGTGATCATGCAAGCAAGCAGCATCACCAATTACCTTCTGAATCTCTTCACCAAGCAACTCCTTGGCCGATTTACACGTACAAGTATCTCCAACGGGAGGCACTTTGGGCGATGGTGGCTGTTGTGGCTTGAATGGAGCACCAAAGACTTGGGGACGGGTGCGCTTTATCAACGGCTCATACACCAT